GATGCTTTAGAGTAGAGAGGTTCTAGAACCTCTCTAGTTTCGAGCAGACTTTCCAGTGCGCTATCATGAATTTGGACTCCTTTACAGAGCTGTTCCATATTCCTAAGAAAATAAGGAACAAGGAATAAGGTATGGAGAAGAAAAAAAATCTTGGCTATACCTATACAAGTCAACGATATCAGGGTTACGCTGCGCATTTCCTGTCGAACTACGACGATGAAACGAACCTTTTACAGTAGGAAATTGTGCTGATTGCATTACGCTTTTCGGGTTAGAAAACAGTGTTACTTTAGACTGGTGAAGTAGTTTAATTGACATTTTGCAGTCGATGTTTTCATTTGAACATAAATTTCCCAGTTTAAGTAATTGGAACCACCAACGACAAGGTGCTGGTGATTGAGGATTTATAAAAAAAACCCTAGCATCGCTATCATTCTGATCCGTAGTGGCAAATAGATTATCCCGGTTGAATCGAAGCGGTAGTTAAAAATGAAAGGTACATTGGGGTAAATGAAAAGTGGTGGGACAAGTGGGTAAATGCCCAACCCATTACGGAACAAAGGATATTAAAAAAAAAATGAAAGCAGTTTAATAAATTTTAGTGGGTAGACAACAATTACCCACTTGCGCCACCAATTTATAACTTATACTGTTCGATCTTTCCTGAACGTGACATGTTAAAGAAGTTGATTGGTTTGTTGTTTTTATTCAAAAGTTTGAATAATCGATACTTATTTATTCACATGTCATGTGTTGAAATAAATTGATTAAATTTAAGTTTTACAATCGTTGCTGTTAGTTAATAGAATCAATGAAAAAATGAATTCTACTTCAACACATAGTAGATATGGCTTATCAATCATGTCCAGCTCTAATAATGGTTTAACAGATGAGAATTGACGGTTCCAAATCCGAGAAAATGTAGTTCATATTTACAACATGTTTACTATGTGCGCCATAATTCTGCGCATTTCGCCAAAATGTTGTAGTGTTTTACAGTTTTATCTTATTTTATATTTTTACCATGCACAAGCGGCTAATACCTACCATCGTGTTCAATTCAATTCAAATTATATACAATTTCAAATTATTTTTGAAATTTTCAAAACAGGCTCTTTACGGCAGAATAAACACGTTCGGTGGGAAGCTACAAGATGAAACAGATGCCAGAAGCTCGGCAACAAGTACAATGCGAATGGTTTGGAAAACCTTCACAATTTCTTGTTCAGATTCGATAGCCCTAAGAGTCTTAAGTTAGTGTTACATGGCCTAATCATAACGGTCGAAAAGTACTTAATCTTATAACGCAACCATCGATAAAACCAAACAAACAACGAAGGGAAAGGTTCCATGATTGTCAATCTGACTTCTTCCTGTAACATGTCGAACGAATCATCCTAAATGCGCATCAACGTGTGACATATTTAATAGTGCAGTATAATGCGAAAATGATGGAATCGGTTTCTACATTGGAGAAATAATCAGCGGCTGTTTTTTCCACCGTTGATGACATTAATTTATAGGTGAATCATTTTTGCAATGATCTTCTCTTATTCCAAGACCATATCTTGATGCCTACAAAACAAAAGAAACATTTAAAATAGCTGTTAAAGCTTAAAATATTAATGCGTCAGTTTTCAAATATTCACACAAAATCCTTGACGACATCCGATAAATAAACAACTAAAATGTGTTTAGCAACGGTGGTAACAACCTAATGCAAAATATAGGTTAAGTATTTTTAAGTATTTTCAGGTATCTTAGGTATTTGTAAAAACTTTCTGAGTATAACGCGAGAAATATAAAGTTTAGAGTGGGATGCCCCTAGGTTTGAACACACTTTTATGCGGATAGATAAGGATTACACGCGATCATAGCCCTAATAAAAATACCATTAACGAACGATAACCAAAATTATAGAACCATTCGACAAATGATTTGGATGACACCCCGAACACGTCGTTAAGGAAAATAACCATACACATTCTAGGGAGGCCATACATGCGAAGTACATTGTGATCATAACCAAGTGTGCTACGTTACATTTACACATTTTAAGATATTTTAACCAAATTTATATTTTGGCCCAAGGTTTGGTCTATTTTTTAATTAATTTTAGTAGAATGAGATATCAATTTCAATCAACCACTTCCATGACAGCCGTAAATATATCATTGCATGCTTAAAATTGTGTTTCTTGTTAAAAATGTGATTGTTGGAATGTAGGAAACGAAATTTTTCGATTTTTTGGCCATTGTCACGCCCACTTATGGTATTTAATATATGGCATCTTGGGCAAGAATGTAATTTGAATGTAGCTTTTATGAGTCAGTTCGTCGGTGAATGATATCACCAATCATGTAGGAAAGTGAACAATGATTTTTTTTAGAAGGCTTAGGCTTGATTGAGCAAATTAAATCCAGGTCCCGAAGATACGTGCTCAACTTTTTGACTCCGCTCTGGAACTATCTTCGGTCCCAAGCTAATCGATGCACCCCTCGAAACATAAGAAAATACATGAACCCCTCATTTTATCTGTCAAACTTTCATAGCAAATTAAAACAAACATAGTGTAGTACTAGAATTTCGACTAGAATGGGGTACGATAATCGTTTGCTTGGTACCAATAGGTTAGTCAAGTAGTGAGCCAATTTAAAATCGATAGTTTCGAATTGATTGTTGATTCTACCACCTACCCACAAAAACACACGCAAAACACCTTGGCATGCAGGCTGTCACCACAGATAAGGTTTTATGTCTAATGGACTTAGCCATCATCATAAACACTCATGGGGTCAAGACGTTTATCCGTCCGGTGAGGAAAATCGGGAAGAATTCACGAGGAGAGTTCATACACAAGTCCGCTACCGATGAGCTTGACAGACTTCGACTCAAGATTTCGGCATATTTTTATAATCCGTAAGTAGATTTTGTATTATTAATAAATATTTTGAAAGCAGTTCCGAACATTTCGTAAAATCAGTAATCACATTTAATCAGGTATTTAATACTATACTATACTATATTCTACAAATAGTAAATAGTATTCATTATACTTAAGAAATATTTTGAACTGTCCATCAGTTGTGCAGAAAAGGGGTTTATGACTATGCGTAATTTTTACTCCATTGAAGCTACCAGTGCAGTCAACTTGAGCCCTGAAAAATGACAGGATATCGAAAACTACGTCACGCTCGCCAATACATTTAAAATAATGCAAGAAGATACCGCAGCTGGCAGGATTGATTTGTAAACTGTATCTGTTTGTATCTGTTGTATGTATCAGACAGTATATTGAATTGAGCACCTCGTGCGATAGCAAGAAGAACCATTCTCGCAAAAATCCACCATAATCCAGATGTTCTTCCCCTCGGAAGATGATGTACAGCCTTCGCCGTAGTTCGTAAGCTCGTAGTCGCCTGATTTGGTGGTAGGAGTCTTCAAACAAAGTTTTCCGGGTCAGCGTAATCTTGATATGGGATACGAGGTGCCGGAATTAATTATATGATTTGAGTAGTAGCTATACTGAAGATCCGAGAGATGTCGCCCCTTCAGTGGTAGGAAAATCATTTCTGCAGTATGGAGAATTTCAGAAAATCCACGATTTGTGACTAAACGTGCTTTCCCAGAAGGAAACAAATAAACGAGTGCTTACCTTATCACCATAGTAATGTACTCGTGCAATTTTTGTGCATCTAAAACTGCCCATAAAGACGATAATGAATAAAAACTGAAAATTTTCATGCATTTCCAAATGGTTTCCTACCATTCCCATACATTCGAAAGAGATGTGGATGATGATAAAAACAACAAAACATGATTAATTGGCTGAGCTTCCATCAGAAGGACCGTTCGTAGGCTCGTGGAACTCCGTAGACAGCTTTTCCACCCTTCGGTGCACCTTCAAATGTAGTTTTTCGATTGTTATGATCTACAATCTATTTGTTCCATATAATTGACGTTGACGGCACCGTGGAAAAATCGTCTCTTCTTGCGAAGACTGACAGTGTCTTATGGGAATTATCGGTGCTCAAAAAAGTCCCATAACCATTTCAGTTAAAGTTTAGCAGGGATTATAAACTATTTTTAACCATTTTCGATAAGGTCGAGTTTTAGTTCGCATTTATGCGGGTTTCTAGGGGTCAGAATATTGATTTATATTTTTGCAGATCATTCAGGATCTTGGAAATGTTTCAAAGTACGATCCAATCCAAAAACTTATAGCGGATACACTTGTATGACACAGCTTTTGTAAACAATGACTTCTCTCGATGATTACATTTTAAATTTTCTTGACAGTCATAGCTCTTTCTTGCTTCCTGGAAAATCGATATCACCATCGAGTAGGGGTATACTTCCCCTAATCAGTGTTGGAAAAGTTCGCGATATTTCATGAAGTTCACCAAGGGAAAAGTTCGTGAGTCATAGTGAGTTTTCGTGAACTTTTCCATCACTGCCCCTAATCGATGGACATGTTGGTGTGTTTCGGCGTGCCTCGAATTCATAGAAATCAACGAGAGAAGCCAAAGGCTACTACGCCCTAACTCCAGCTCTATTTAGATTATACAAATAATGCTCATGCTTATAGTTTGTCATCCAAGTGTATTCGTGGCATAAGAATCCAATTTTTTATAATTTTTATACTTTGAATAACTACTTTCAAGATCTCTAACTATAATGTATCGATACGTTGAAGGCTGCGCTCAGTTTCATAGGTTTTTGATTTGGTGCTCAATTTCACTTATATAGCGAATTTGTTTATTATCCAGGTTGGAACCAGGTTACAAAATCAAACGTTCACACTGACGTTTGACCGTCAACCAGCAGACCCAATCTTGATACCCGATCCAGGTTGGAACATAATCAAAAACAAATTCGCTATTGGATTTCTCAAAATCATTTTTCACTTTTTTTCCATTCATAAACTTTTATCGACACACCGCGTTCATTTCGCACACACATATGTTGAACTCAATGTAAACAAATAATCACATGTTGGTGGTCGATATAACTGTTTCGGTAGTGAGTGATAGTGTTGGTGCTGCTGAGTCGAACGGAGTTTTAAAGCAAAAATCGCTGCTCACGAGAGCATTCCTCAGGTGAAAAGTTAGATCTTCATGAATACCGACCGAACAAGATCCATCACCGGCTGTGTGCGGTGGACAGGTGAGAGATTTTCATTCATATCCAAATAGGTCACCGTTTGTAAGTAGTGTTCCCGTATCTCAGTCTTCATCGTCTTTCAGAATAAAATTTTACCATAAACCCCTTCAGAGCTGACTGGAGAAGTGATGTGGCATAGCTGATACCGGTTTGGAATAGATAGGCCAACATGATCGACTCCTTGCTGGATCTGCGCTCGGTCAACCTGATCAACTTTCTATTCGCGCAATTGATAGTGATTATCGTGCTGCTGGGCGGATTGATTGCAACCATCGAGAAGTACCTTCCAACGTTGATCAGTCAAACGTTTCGCTATGGGAAGCATGCCCACAAGGGGCCTCAGGATCGGTTCGTATCGCTGCTGGAAGTGCCAAAGTCATGGTTCAAGCACTTCTACGTATTTGCTGCCCTGTGGTCGGCAGCCGGGTTCTATTTCATGGTGAATAATTACCTCGCTGGACAACCCGCTCCCAGTTATGTGATTGATTTCCTTGATGTCATGGGCACTACGAAGCGGACCGCTAGAAGTAAGACTAATGTGCTTAGGATTTTTTAAATGTGAAAATTGACATACATATTTTAATTTTGTTTTAGCTACTCCCACCGAAACAATGGTCGCCCTGTTCTTGATAACGTTGCAGTGCTGGCGTCGGTTCTACGAAACCTGGTGTGTTCAGGTGTTTTCCAGCAAGCTGAAAATTCACCTATCGGCTTACCTGGTCGGGTACATCCACTACTTCGGTACGGTGGTAGTGATTCTTTCGCAAGCGGAAGGGTTCATTCGATCCGAAGCCCTTCCGCTACCTTATCGTTTCGAACTGACACCCCGGCTTGCCCTTTGGATCGGTGTATTTATCTATGCCTGGCGCTATCAGTTCCAATCGAATTTGATTCTGGCCAACCTTCGGAAGGATCGCACCGGGAAGGTGACGAACCAGAAGCATTCCATTCCGCGGGGTGGCTATTTCGAGCTGGTGTCGTCACCGCATATGTTATTCGAGATAGTGATGTATGCCGCACTGTATGCCATCATTGCGAGGAACACGTCCGCGGTGTACGTGTTCGCGTGGGTACTGTCGAACCAAACGATGAATGCATGGCTGACGCACCAGTGGTATCGGGAGAATTTCGCTGACTATCCGCCCGAGAGACGTGCCGTGTTTCCCTATGTGCTGTGAAGAAGCGGTCGGCGGTGGAGGAAGCGGAACAGCTGCACGGCGCATGGTAGCTGCAGCTTGGCCTTCGGTGCGGATATGCATTCGCTTCGGTGGAAGGAAGAGGTAACAACATTAACTGCTGCAAATATACATATGGGTTTGGGGCTTTAGTATGGTTTGCATTCAAATTGTGTCATTACTTTGGTATTTACAATAACAAAGTGTGGCGAATGGGTGTGTTTGGGTAGTTTTCAATTGCAAGTCGAAACTATGGGATTTAATTTGCTTGTTTTAAATCAATGGACCACTTTGTCAAGCAGTTTGAGGCATGACTTTCTGCCACTAGTGATTCAACAAAAATAGGCATAGGTACACACATTTAATTTTGTTTTGAATGTCAAAAAAATTGGCTACTTGCCTCATATAGACATATCAGTTTATTTCGATATTCAAGTGGTAGTAAATGTAACGTTGAGCTACAGTGCTCTTCCAAATTAGTAAACTATGGACTCCTGGACTTTTGTGTGGTTTCATGACATAGAAGTATGCTTTAAAGGTCCAGCTGAGATCCTGGACAATCTTAACATAGCTTTTGAAAAATCCTTAGTGAAATTTCAAGGGCTCCCCTATAGGGTTATGGACAATTCCTATAATCATTCCGCATGCTTTATCCGGGCTCGAAATCATAGCAGAGTCCTGTTCCCGTACTTTCTGCTCTTGCAACCACAATTTTACCGAAAGTAAAACTCGATGAAAAGATCTGATTAATGCAAACGGGACCTTTTGAAATGTTAGGCAGAAAATATCTCGATTCTAGATGATTTTTGTTTTCATTCTTTTTTTTTATTTAGTTCGTTTATTTGTAAGGCTCAATCGCGTTATCTTTACGGAGCCGATAATTCATTGTTCATTGGTTGAAACAAAATTAAACGCGGGTTGCACGTCTCTGATAGGAACATAGGGTTGTCTTCATTGGGCCTCGAGGATATTCAAAAGTCGCTCTCTGGTGGCGTCGTTATCCGTACATTGCCAAACTGCGTGATCGATGTCGTCGTAACCGTTTCCACACCGACAGATGTTGCTGTCCACGAGGTTTATTCTATTGAGATGAGCATCTAGCGAGTAGTGGTTGCACATAAGTCTACTCATCACGCGAATGAAGTCACAACTTAAGCCCAAGCCTTTTAACCACGCACTCGAAAACATTAGGAATAAGTCAATGTAACCACCGTCCAAGATTTCCAGTGTCCCAATCGGTTTGCCAACTCGAATGGGTTTTCCTTCTTTTGAACATCTGAAGCTTTTAAGTTTTTTCGCTAGAGAGAATCGATAAATGTCCGACTATTTTTGACCATATTATTTTCCAAGGTTTTCAAAATCTTTAAAATTGTATTTGTTTTTAAATAATGATTATCAAACCTCAACTTCAAATTAAATTCGATTCATTTTTCAAAATTAATATTGTCCTCATCTACGGCGGAGATTTATTGATTACCATCTACCCAAGCAACTTGCAACTCATACAAAAACACTTCTGCTTTATAAAGGACATACTTCTCTTCCACTCGATCACTAACACATTCCGTCACGTTTGTTTTCCAGCTTCCATTCCAAACCATTCGCGCGGACAAACAAATAACCAACCAAGGACACGGGCTGATAGGGAATTATTCAAACGATCGTAATTTAGTTTAGACTTCCGATACTGCTGTAAGGAATGTAGACTGCGCAATAAACCAGATTTATTTATTTTCTATTAAAAATCATAAAAATGTTCCACAGATTTGCATCGCTTTTACTATCAGAAGTAGACTGAAAGAAGTTACACATGTCCCACCCTAAAAAGGTGCAGGGATATTGAATTGGCGAAAATTATCGTTCCGATTAGCTTCTTCTCGTGGCTCTCTTGGACTAGGGGCTATTGAATTCGTTAGGTTCGCTTTGACTATTTCACACTTTTATGTCAGTATTATTTAAGGAATGCACGCTTGTAGTTATTTTTCTCTTAGAACCTATCCACTAAGACTGAGAATAAAAATTCCGAAACGAATCGATGAGCAGTCATTCAATTGAGTTCCTAACCTCCGTCAGTCTTACACCTTGCCCAGAAGGTCATGGGTGTACATCTTCTTGCGGTAGCCCCGTTTCACCACCATCTTGACGGCGATGACCAGCATTATGATGCAGGCCACATACAGGAGGGCACCCATTCGGATGTCCATTTCGTTCAGCACATTCCCAAAGATTCGATTGGATTGGAAGTTGTCTCCTACCCCGCTGTAGGCCAGCTTTTGCGGTACGAGACTTGCCTGCTGCAATCCCAGTGGATTCCTGTTGTTGGAGCTGTACATGCTCTTCACGAATTTAAGCACCTCCAGCACGTTCCACTCGTTCCCATCCTGCAGAGTGTACTGCTGGTGGTTGTGGTGATTGGTAAGAATTGGCTTTCGACACCCCGGGCACATATCCACGGATGGGAATTGGATCTTCGGGTGGGCTGAATCTTCCGTAGCATCACCAGACAGTCGTTTGTTGACTTCGTTGTGGCTAGACCAGAGCCACACTACGGCATCGTCTTTGCTGGTCACGTTCCAAATCTTGTTACGTGCTGCCATCTGCTGGAAATGGTTCGAACAATCCGAACACCCGAAGAAGTACTTGATGTAGCCATGCATGGCCTGTAGAATCTCCAACGGATCAATCGAAATCTCCGATTCGGCCGCCTGGACGGTCAAATAGTGGAACAGTGTCCACAGACCGCAAGGGTACCTCCGAAGGCCGTCTTTAATGCTGGAACATCCAATCCACCGGTTGGAGGAAAACACCGGAGAACGATTCTGCTCTAGTTTCTTAATCTGACTCGCATAGTCTTCGGTAATGATCTCCTTTTCCGCGTTCAGCACGTACTGCCTGACTTCCTTCAAGAACTTCATTCCGTTTTCGTTGAAGGGGAAGTACCGTACCAGAACGTTCAGGAATCGCTGCAACGCCAGCAGTCGCTCACCGTCGATGGTCTTGTATCGCGTCACTTCGTGGAACAACGCGAATTTCACAGTTTCCTCCAAGTCCGCCTGGTAAACCACCCCGGGACCAAGTTCCATTATCTTAGCCCGCAACGCGTCTTCCTGTTTCTTTTCCATGATCTCCGAAATGTCCGGCTCCGTAGACGATTCCTTACTGGTAGCCTTGGTCGAAACCTCCGTCACGCTGATATGGTGCTCGTTTAGGTGCCTTCGAATGGCAGCCGCTACCTTCTCGCGGGTAAACTCATCCACCGGGAGCTTGATTTCGCTCATCGTTTCCGCAGTTATGACCTTTAGTCCACTGGGTTCGCTCGCATCTTTGGTTCGCTTCACCACTACGGCCGGAGTGTCCAGGAAGTCCAGTATCACCTGACTGCCGACGGTTGTTCCATTGGTTTCGTTTTCATTGACGATGAAGGCATACTTGGCTCTGGCTTCGTTGCTGGTGAACAGATCGGCATGCGGAGAGTTGGGTTCCAGTGCGGTGAAGTCAGGCCAGTTGGGTGGTTTGCTGGTAACGTTTTGCATGTTCTCGATCAGCGCGTTGATGACCTCGGCTTCCGCGTGGGCCGTTATGGGGATTCCTATAGGTTAATTGTTTAGGGAAGAGAAAAAGAGTACAGTTAGTAGTTGGCTGTTATTGTACTGTGTTTATTGTTCGGATGCATTGGGCGTGGCTCTTAATTGTAGAGGTGCTTCAAAGAACACTAAGATCAGCATGCTTCATATTTCTAAAGACCCAAACGCAATGTGGGCGGAACGGAAATGGAAAGTTTGACACTTGTCACAAATGACGTCAAACACTAAACGGCGCCGGTGGTGTAGTGGTAAGCGTGATTACCTCTCACCCCAGCAGGCCTGGGTTCAATCCCAGTCGGCGCCGCCGGGATGTTCTAAGGCTTAACATCTCTGATCACGCCTTCCTTCGGATGGGAAGTAAAGCCGTTGGTCCCCGGTTCATGAGTTGATGGGTCGATAGGTAGGGCCCAGGTGTGGGAGCTGCCTTCCTGGCACGTCGGTAGCATTGGTGCTCAGCACGGAAAACAAGATCGACGGAAAAAAACAAACCAAAGGAAAAAAAAAAAAAAATAAAACAAATGACGTCAAGATCAATTACCGAAGTCGTTTTGGCTCTAACTAGTTTTCAGCTTACTCAGATCGGGCATGAAGAAAGATTGCCGGAAGAAGATCAACGCAAATGTTGCCACCGAATCATGATCTGTCGTGTTCATGGTGGACAGCGGAGCAAGAAGAACAAGTTGCAGTGAGGTTGAATTTCTGCTAGATTCTGGAGCTATCATACAAGCCTTAAGGCAACCAGTATACATCAACGTAGCGAAGAACAGAGAATGTAGGAAGCAGATACAATCACTGGAATCAGTAACCGTGGCGTTATGATACATGCGAAAAATGTCTTGTACGTTCCGGCTCTCAGAGACAATCTTATGTCGGTAAAGAAGCAGACGAACGCTGGCGTAGAAGTTCAGTTCAGCGACAAGGTTGCTACCTACTTTGAAGAAAAACGGCGAAACATTTTCAACTGGACATTTGCTTGAAAACCTCTACGCCTTGGAGATGCAGTTATGCATCGTGTGTGTAAAGGGAAAACATAGCTGAAGTCCATGCAATGGAACAACACACCGGGCAACTTGATTGTTGGAGCGTACACACTCTGATGTATGTGGACCGATTTAACCAGCATCTTGGGATGGACATTGCTATTTCGCTTCATTCATCGACGATTAGTCCCATTTTGCGGTGGTGTACCTGTTAAAGAAGAAATCGGAGGTGTTGGAAAAATTTCAAGAATTTGAAGTAATGTCTACGGCGGTCTGTGGCATGAAGATTTCGAAGCTCACCGTAGATGAAAGGCGTGAATATTGCTCGGGCAATCATAAGAAGCACTACAAGACCAAGGGGATCCAGATCGAACCAACAGAAGCGCCGCAGAAAACGGGGTTGCAGAGAGACTTAACAGAATCTGATAGAGAAGGTACGTTAAATGTTGAAGGATCCAAAGCGCCTAAGTCGTTGTGGTGTGAAACCGTGTTGACGGCTGTTTTTTTCTCAACTCCATGGCAATGTTCCATACAGCTGATGACGTGCCCTGTAGGTGTGAAGCCACTCAGAAAGAAGTGGGTTTTCGGCTCAAGGAGGACGAGATTGGACGATAAGTTCGTCGTAAGGCGCGACTGGTAGTGAAGGGCTTCCTTCAACGCCCTGGAATGGACTTTGAAGATACATTCGTACCAAAGGCAAGACTATCCACAGTTCGCGTGGTGCTCGCTGTTACTCTCCATTGGGGTTTTCGGTCCACCAGGTGGACGTCAAAACAACTTTCCTACACGGAGAACTAAAAGATGATCTCTATATGGAGGTACCAGTACGGTTTGAAACAAGCTGGAACGAACGTTTCAACTCAACGCTGATAAAACTGGGATTTCATCGATCCAGACATGATTACTGCCTCCATGTCTCTTCATGTAAAGATTATGGAATCTACCTGGTACTTCACGTGGATGATCTATAAATAGTTCGAAGAAACCGTACAACAATTGAAGCCGTCTACAAAAGCCACCACGTTCCAATCCCGAACCGCTCCGGAAGCGTCATACTGCAATCTCTCAAGTTGTGATGCTTTTCTGACACTCTGTAACTGAGACGACAAATAAATAAATATAACATATTGCGGCGGGGCTTATCGTGTGTTAAAATAGCTTCAGAACGCTTGAGCTCTTTAAATAGGCTATTGGATCTGCGGTAGCGCTGTCACATTCGAACTCCCGAATTCAAGCTTCTTGGAGTCTAAAGAGCCTAAATTTATAAAGAGGCGACATGTCAAAATTGGAACAATCGATTGTCTGTCAAAGTCATAGGAAAAGTCCAACTGCCAGACGGTGGGTGTTGGATTGTAAATACATACGTTGTTGTTCTAAGTTAATTTTTTTGGAATTACCAGAAGTTCAAATTAAATTTGAATGGACTGGTCGTCCAGATTAGCGAGGGTTTACGGTATTCAACGTTCATAGGTTTACTAAAAAAAAAAGAAAAACCACTGCATTAATCAATGATGACTAAGCAGCCATCAGTCGATTTTTTGTTGCTCTCTTCCAAACTGTAACTGTAGCACATTGGCGCCGGTTTATTGCACTGTGTTTGCTTCATAATTCAAAGCCGTTAAAATCAAGTTTTGATTACTTTTCAAACAAAATAAATCCCATTGCTACTAACACATGCACGGCTTTGGTAGTGCAAAGGGGCTGTGCAGGTCAAAATATTTGAAAACGGTTTGCCACTGAATATTAAACAGAATGTACACTTGAATGAAACCGGAACTACTCGTTTAGAGAAACCGCATGTTAAGTCTGTTTTGACTCGATATACTAACTGATAAAAGTCCCTTCTCTTGCGCTTCACGGATGTTCCTATTATCATCATGTTACGGGCCTCAAGACGCTTCCATACAAGCCACGTACGAAAAGCATCACGATTCCGTTGACCTATCGATAATGTTTGCACTTGTAAGCATTGTTTCTTATCAGCTCACCCAATCCATCCGTAACAAAAAACTGAGTACGTGTAACTTATAACAACCCGAAAACAGTAGACGAAATATGCTAATAGACTCACCGATATTTTGCGGTCCATCTTCATAGTACGGAGGGATGAACCGGATGGTCGGATAGGCCATAACGTCGAACTGCCGACAGACGGGGTTGTTTTCATCCCGCGAGCAGTCCAACGCCATCACCTTGGCCGTATTCTGCCACGCAAGGACATCCGACGCCAGCTGCTTCCAGACTGGAGCGTATCGCCGGCAGAAGCCACAGTACGAGTTGTAGAACTCGACCAGCGATGCGTACGGTTGCTGGAAGATTTTCTCCTTCAGGTTCGCTGCGGTCAGCGATACTACGGAATCGTTCTCGTCGTACAGTCCGACATTCTCGTTATTGCTGGTGTCGGCTTGGCGCTTGAACAGATGCTGCTCGTACAGACTTGGAAGCCGAGACGCTGCCACCAGCTGGACCAGACAGCCACCACCCAACACCACCCCCAGAAGTACTATCGTATAGAGTTTCATCATCACCTGGCCTGTTCCGGAGATCTACTGATCCATGGGGTCACCACAGCGGGCAGATTTATTTGCCTTCAAGGACCGGAGCAATCTTCCAATTACGGAGCTAATTTGTAGATTCTTATTATGTTGCAGCAACACACAACAGCAGCCAGGAGATGGAGATGCACACGATTATTGGATGTGGGATTGCTTTCTCAAGACTGACTGACGTGCAGGTAGGTGGCTTCTGTCGTATATAGCTAATGCTATGCTCGTTGGGAGATGTTGTTAGCTAGAGCGAAATGGAATAATTCGGCGAAGTGGTGCGGTCGGAACGAGATGGAGCGAATGTTTTGAATTGCTGATCGGAACGCGGTGAGCAGTGAGAATGCAGTTTTTGTCATCGCGAGAGAACTTCCATCGGTTCGTTCCGTCAGTTGGTGGGAGCGTAAGGAGTGGTCGCAAAATCACCAATGGGAAGTCATTGAGCGGTGCGTCGAGGTATGGATTTATATTGAAAATTTAGATGCAGTTGCAATGTACACGGATAGAAATCTCCCTATACCTTTTGGCAAATTTCCATTGCTGATTATTTATAAAATGTATAAGTCTACTAATAAGCAGACGCCTTGCAAAAAGTTAATAAAGATCATGTGTCAAATGAAATGTATAAGCGGTCACACATACCTTTTATGCATTCTAATAGGACCTATGTGGTTTGTCTTATGGAATGTATAAGGCTGATGCTTTGGCAAAAATGTTTAAGTGAAACACATGAATTAAATAATTGATTTTCGTTTCGTGTAGTTTGTTAAACTAAAAACTGCTATTCAAACTAATAGTACGTTCAGACTACAGAGTTATAACATGTTATAGCGCTATCTTGAGGGTGGTTTCTGTGTTGCAATTATTTGACAACCGTTATAACATGTTATAACTCTCCAGTCTGGACATAGTTTAAATTAAAATAAATTCAGGCGTAACATTTGATAACGGCACAAAAGCATTTGTAAAAAAACTTTCTAATGCCCTTCACACGCGAACCAAAGTACGCTCACGCGAACCAATACCACTTTCGGAAAGGTGATAGTTGCCCCTATCTGATGATGTTGTTTGTTTGCGTTCACATACTTTCGCGTTTAAAGGGTCTTAGAAAGTTTGTTTACAAATGCTTTTGTGCCGTTATCAAATGTTATGCCTGAATTGTCTCTAGGAAACATATTACCGTACTCAGTTAGGTGCTAAATTGGCACTTATTGCCTGCCTATCAAAAATTGCTCTGTGAAATCACCAAAACTGCTAAACAAAGTGGTCCATTGTTTTTCCTGTGTCCGGGATCTTGCTTTAATAATTCCTTTGGAATTCTTCTCGGGACATACTTGGATTTTTTTCAATAGATTCCTTAGAATTAACCCAAAATTCCTACAGAGTTTCATAACTCTGTTGGAACATTTCAAGAACCCCCTACCAGATTTTTTTTTTGGAATTTACTTTATTGTTTTCATAATTATTATTAAAATTCCCTTGAATGATTTAATTTATTTAATGTCGGTAAGAATTTAGAACGCTTTGATTGCAGCTTAAAACTTATCATGGAATTACCCTAAGAATCCTAGTGAAAATTTTCATGTATATCTGCTCAGCCTTACTTATAGTACGTTCAGACTACAGAGTTATAACATGTTATAGAGCTATCTTGATGGTGGATTCTGTGTTGCAATTATTTGACAACCGTTATAACATGTTATAACTCTCCAGTCTGGACAGCGTTTTAGATTATTATTTTCCTAAAACTCCCTTGGAATTTTATCCTTAGCATTCCCTTTAAATTCTACTCAAAAATACTTTGGAACAATCATCGGAATTTGCATCACAAGTTTTCTTAACTCAAGATTTCAAGACCAACAATTGAAATGGCCTTAACTCAATTTTGTAAACAAACCTTGTAAGGCTATTTTCTCGCGAACCGAAGTCCGCAAAGGCAAACCAACATCATGAACAGGTAGGAGAAATTCTCCTCTACCCGATTGTGGTTTAGGTTTGCAAATGTAGGTTTCGGTTCGCGAGAAAATGGCCTTACAAGGTTTGTTTACAAAATGGAGTTAAGGCCATTTCAATTGTTGGCCTTGATTTCTAATATAATATTCAAGCTATTCCCTGATCACCACATTCTCTCAGTTTTAAAAAATTCGACCCATCTAGCCCAGAAGCGTTTTGTGTATGGGGAAACGCTCCTATAGTTGCGGTACGTTAGAAGCGTTAGGTTCCTATAGTTGTTCATCGAGACTCAATACGCAACTATAGGAACCTAACGCTTCTAACGTACCGCAACTATAGGAGCGTTTACCCTACTGGCATATAAAATAAAACATAATTCTTTAACACAAACAGAATCAGTCTATGCATCTAAATCAGGTTATAATATAGTTTCACAATTGTTTGTTTTTTTCAGAATTTTTCTGCTGAAAAAAAATCTATGTCTCAGAGTGTGAATTGTCTCAAGATCTTGAGGAATATGAATATTTCTTTTGAAGTATCAGAACCAGGGGGACTCTATCCCTGTCAACCACATATAAAGGGTGTTCACGATGAAATTGCCACACTATGAAATTGCTCTAACTTTTTAACCGGTTGGTAGAATTTAATGAAAATTTGGGTGGATTTAGTTCATAGTGCATTATTTACATCCTGCAAGTTTTAAAGTCCTGTGATCAAAACTCGCGGAAATGGAGTCGAAAGAACAGCTCGTGCGTGATAAAATCTTGCGCATTCATCACGAGAACAAGGATCTCTCGCATCGTTCCATCGCTAAAACGTTGGGAATCGCGAATTCCACGGTGTCGCGAGTGATTAAGCGGTTCGAGGAACGGTTGACCACCGATCGGAAGCCCAGAAGTGAAGGAAAAAGTATTCCGTACAACACCAAAAATCACAACCGCGTAGTTGGGGCCTTCAACCGAAATCCGAACGCCTCCGTTAGGGATGTGGCTAAGAAGCTGCACCTAAGCCGAAGTTTTGTCCAGAAGGCCAAAACTAAGGCTGGGCTTCGAACGTTCAAGGTACAAAAGGCCCCTAATCGCGACGAGAAGCAGAACAAGTCCGCCAAAACCCGTGCCAGGAAGTTGTACCTCAACATGCTGACGAAAGTTGAATGCTGCATCATGGACGACGAAACATATGTGAAGGCCGATTTCAAACAGATCCCCGGCAACCTGTTTTTCACGGCCAAGGATAAGTTCAGCGTTCCGGAGCATGTCCGCACTCAGAAGATGTCCAAGAAGAAATTCCTGGTTTGGCAAGCCATCTGCACGTGCGAGAAGCGGAGTGCACCTTTCGTGACCCAGGACACGATGAACGGACAGGTGTACATAAAAGAGTGCCTCCAGAAGCGGCTGCTTCCTCTCCTGAAGGCCCACAACGTCCCAACAATCTTCTGGCCGGATTTGGCCTCATGCCACTACTCCAAGGACGTGCTGAAGTGGTATGCGGACAATAAGGTCAATTTCGTGCCGAAAATGTTCAACACTCCGGAGCTTGGCCCCATCGAGAAGTACTGGGCGATTATGAAGCAGCACCTTCGTAAACGACCTAAGGTAGTGAAGACAGTCGAGGAACTGAAGAAAGTATGGGTTTACATGCAAAAAACGGTTGATTCACAGGTTGTGCAGAATCTTATGGCCGGGGTTAAGGCCAAGGTGCGGGCATTTGCGTATGGACTGTAAATAAAATACGAGTAAAATGGTAAAATGAAGTTTAATAGTTATTTCTCAATCCCTGAAAATTTGATGGCAATCGGATGAAAACTCGAATTTTGCGAATCAATTTGGTGTGTGGCAATTTCATCGTGGACACCTTTAAATATATTAAAAGGGTGCATTTTTCATAAGCTTATTTATAAAAAAAAACATATTCGAACATATTGATCAGGGGCTTAGAGACAACAGGTTGAACGAAAAAAGGTTGATAAGGACAAATGGTCGAAAGTCCTAAAGCTGTGTTTATGCGTGGCTTATTGTATATGAAGGCGACCTAAGAATATACGTGTATGAACAGGCATTCTTGAAACGGGTCGTTGGATGTACAGTAGAGTTATCACCTTCCTTCTTCATTGCTAAACCTATGTGCATCTGTGTATAAACATTTATTTACTTACTTACTTACTTACTTACTTACTTACTTACTTACTTATTTACTTACTTAATTACTTATTTACTTACTTCTTTACTTACTTACTTACTTACTTACTTACTTACTTACTTACTTACTTACTTACTTACTTACTTACTTACTTACTTACTTACTTACTTACTTACTTACTTACTTACTTACTTACTTACTTACTTACTTACTTACTTACTTACTTACTTACTTACTTACTTACTTATTTACTTACATACTTACATAATTACGTACCTACTCACTTACTTATTCATAGTACCTGTTCGATTTTGGCAACAATACCGAAAATTTAGTGTTGCCAAATTTAACTGGGCCATAATCGAATGTTTTTATTTTAAAATGTAATGTGTGATTTCGTTGATTTTAGACCACCGTGTGTCATTTTTAAGCCATAGACGTTATCAATAATTAATCTTTTACACATTATTTTTAAAATTCGTTTGATTCTGGCACGGTGTCAAAAACGAACGGGTACAGTAGAGTAGTTTATAGCTAAATGACGAATCGAAAAAAAACTCGACTTTCTCCAATTTGCTTGAGACTTAGCATAATTCTTTGTTATGGGGAAAGATTTACATTTTTGCTAAAAAATCAGTCGTTTTGAACTTTCTAAAATGTTCAAAATGGCGTCTTTGAAATTTGTCAAAAAATTATTGAAATGGCACTTCTGATCGATCTGAGATTAAGCTGTACACACTAAAATTATTTCACCGAAATCTGTGAAATTTCACCGAACTCTCAACAGCTGAACCGAATATCTGTGAAAAATTACAGGAAATCTGTGAAAAATCACCGAACTGTTTACCGAACGTTCAGCTATTGAGATTTCGATAAAATTTCACATATTTCGGTAAAGTAATCTAAGTGTGTAGAGAAAAATAATGTCTTTCTCGGAAAAATATACACTGAAAATGTTTTAAGAAATATCAAGTAAAAATTTTATTTTCACAAAATGTTCACGATAAATTCAAACTGTTGGAATGTAAATGTTAAATTTTTTGCACTTTCTGTGAAAAGATTTTTTTACAATATTTGA